ACATATTTGTATTTCCACCAAAACATGTTTATCAGGTATAAAGTGTTAATGACATGGTCGCTTACGGTAAGAGGTGCTTATAACGCAGCACTTTTACAGTTATATGGTCGATACAAATAAACCAACGTAAGATGGAAGAAAAACGCCAGCGCCTTTATTCCTAAACGTGTTAACTTTGAAAGTCCCCGGAATAGGAATATACTACCTCAGCCTTATATTTGAGCTAATAAATTGACCTTAGAGCCGGCTAGACCGGTTCTGGCATGTGTTGTGCAGTCACCTGCTGCACTGACTCTGGTCAGACCAACTGCTGCACCGGGTCTGGTCAGACTGGCTGTTGCAATGGCTCTGGTCAGACTGACTGCTGCACCGGCTCTGGTCAGACTGACTGCTGCACTGGGTTTCGTCAGACTGACTTTTGCACCGGGTCTAGTCAGACTGACTGCTGCACTGGGTTTGGTCAGACTGACTGCTGCACCGGCTCTGGTCAGACTGACTGCTGCACTGGGTCTGGTCAGACTGGCTGCTGCACTGGCTCTGGTCAGACTGACTGCTGCACCGGCCCTGGTCAGACTGACTGCTGCACCGGGTCTGGTCAGACCAACTGCTGCACCGGGTTTGGCCAGACCAACTGCTGCACCGGGTCTGGTCAGACCAACTGCTGCACCGGGTTTGGTCAGACTGACTGCTGCACCGGGTCTGGTCAGGCTGACTGCTGCACTGGGTCTGGTCAGGCTGACTGCTGCACTGGGTCTGGTCAGGCTGACTGCTGCACTGGGTCTGGTCAGACTGACTGCTGCACCGGGTCTGGTCAGGCTGACTGCTGCACTGGGTCTGGTCAGGCTGACTGCTGCACCGGCTCTGGGTCAGGCTGACTGCTGCACAGGGGTCTGGTCAGGCTGACTGCTGCACAGGGTCTGGTCAGGCTGACTGCTGCACCGGCTCTGGTCAGGCTGACTGCTGCACCGGCTCCGGTCAGACTGACTGCCGCACAAGGGTCTGGTCAGACTGACCGCCACTTTGGTTCTGGTGAAGTCGATCTGCCCGCTTTCGGGTAAAAAACGACGTAACATGGGATGACTTTAACAGTGGAAACGTAAAACTGTTCGAATTTTAAGTAATTAAGTAGCCTCTAACTTGGCATCCGACAGCTTTTACACAAAATGGTACATCATTAAGAGCTGTCGTAAAACACCGGCTTTAGGTAGGGCTACCAGAACGCAGTATAGAACAAGCTGTTACAGGTGGCTAAATCAGCAGCAGCGGCCCAGCTGCCACACGTGCTGCGCCTGAGGAGGCAGCAGCTGCCGTGGCAGCTGTGGAGCCCCGTGCGCGGCCAGACAGTGCGTACGTGGCATATCGGCCGCTATCAGCTCCATTAGCGCTTTTTGCAGAGGCCGGCGGCGTCGCCTGGCGGGGGCAACCCGGAGCTGCTGCTGACGCCCATGAGGGGTCACCTTAGCGGTGGATCCCGCCGCTGGGGGCGGCAAGGGTCACCCCAGCTACGGACCCCGCCGATGGGAATCGGCAGAGGTCACCCCAGCTGTGGATCCCGCCGATGGGAAGCGGCAAAGGTCACCCCAGCTGTGGATCCCGCCGATGGGAAGCGGCAGAGGTCACCCCAGCTGTGGATCCCGCCGATGGGGAGTGGCAGAGATCACCCAGCCACGGACCCCGCCGATGGGAAGCGGCAGAGGTCACCCCAGCGGTGGATCCCGCCGATGGGAGGCGGTTAGAGGTCACCCCAGCTGTGGGTCCCGCCGCTGGGAGGCGGCAAAGGTCACCCCAGCTGTGGATCCCGCCGATGGGAGGCGGCAGAGGTCACCCCAGCTGTGGATCCCGCCGATGGGAAGCGGCAGAGGTCACCCCAGCTGTGGATCCCGCCGATGGGAAGCGGTAAAGGTCACCCAGCTGGGGTCCCGCCGCTGGGAGGCGGCAAAGGTCACCCCAGCTGTGGATCCCGCCGATGGGAGGCGGCAGAGGTCACCCCAGCTGTGGATCCCGCCGATGGGAAGCGGCAGAGGTCATCCAGTCAGAAGCTTTGACGCTACTGCAGAGGACGTGAAAACAGTCATAGGACCTTTGTTGCAGCTAGTTCGTCACTCCCTTCACCCTGCTTTTTAGTGCGGGAATGGGCCGACCGGACAACGTTGCGCGTAAAGGGTGCAGCACCTCCTCCGACAACGCCCTGTAGCAGGAGCATTGACATAGACACTTCCGTCAGCAGGAACCTGCCTAAATGGCGTGGAAAGGCGCAGTAGCAGCAAAGCCTCGTCTGCCCGGAAACTGTGACCAAAAGCGGCCGGAGCAAAAGCCTCGAGACCAGACGAGAATCAAACATACGTTGAGGTAGTCAATCACATGAAGGTTCGCATGGTCGGCAAACACCCAAGTATTATGGAACTTATTAACATGAATACCATTATCGTCGGCGATACTGAAATAATATGGAACTCACACTATCTACCGGGTTGTAGCATTGCTTCATGGTCATGGTAAATCCTATCACTTAAAATAACAATGAACGGATAATCTCCACCGCTGCCGTGATGTGTACACTTAGACGCACTGAATGCGTACTTTAGGTCCGCTCGTTCGACACGTTTACTCATATGAAAACTATCGTTTCGTGACTTGCACTACTGACAAATATAGGTAGCCATGCCGCATATGTATATTTGGGCCATAGTACCAAAAGACATCAGATTTAGAAATGACATAACCAATCTAATACATTAAAAACTGTTTGTAGGGGTTCTCAAAGTTACGTTATAAAGCGTGGCGGCCGAGTGGTCAGCGACTTCAGCTCCCACGTGACGGCACCGGGTTCAAATCTCGACTAAGTTATAACCCCGGAGCGAAAATATGATCCCCGTGGTCACTGGTGGCCCATAAAAGGGTGTGTAGCGACGCGCGAAGTGTTCGTTACAAAAATTAGTAGCTGCGTGCTTTTTTACACGATTTTCTCCTTCGCATCGCAACGAATGCAGTTACAGCCAAAATACTGAGGGAAGCCATCCAGCAACGGAAAAATACAAACGCCAACAAAATCATCGTTGCGAGACGTTCGCTTGATAACTAAACGAGTTTCTGCCGTTACCATGGACCCCGTGTCAGCCGCGCACCGCTCGGAGATTATCACCGCATCTCAGATACAGCAGCACTGTTGACCAGCGGCGCTATGTAACTGTAACGCCATGTGGCGTCACACAGCAGCACTGTTGACCAGCGGCGCCATGCGACTGTAACGCCATGTGGCGTCTTACAGCAGCACTGTTGACCAGCGGCGCCATGCGACTGTAACGCCATGTGGCGTCATACAGCAGCACTGTCGACCGACGGTGCCATGTGACTGCAACGCCATGTGTCGTCATACAGCAGCACTGTTGGCCAGCGGCGCCATGCGACTGTAACGCCATGTGGCGTCATACAGCAGCACTGTTGACCAGCGGCGCCATGTGACTGTTACGCCATGTGGCGTCAAGGAGCGATGCCAGCCGAAGTTGAAGCATAACATCGCTAACAGGTTTGCTGCCAGGCAATTGTTGGGGTTGAAGACATACTGTCTGAAGTTCAACTATGGTGCTGCCGTAAAGCTGCTGTGGAGTGCGGCCGGTTGTGACACCAGGGGCGCAGGTCTGGCTTATCGCACCTCTGCGAGACCATTCTGTCGCGGGCCCACGCCAACAGGTCGCTCTGGTGGGCATTTGTAGTCGGCAAAGCACACGGAAGTCACTTCCGTGATTATTTTGCGTTCTATTCGTGTGGTTGATATCGTATCGCGAGCATAGAGGACTTCTCAGCCCCGCGCAGTTCGTCAGCCATTTCCGGGACATACAAGTGGATCTCACCTTTTGCTCAAATGAAACTAGATGAATTAGATCGTCAGAAATATGCCGCAAATGGTACTTGAAGATCACCAAAGTGCTGGATGAATAAGTTGGCAGCCGTGGCGCGGCAACGAGGTTGCCACTTCCCCTGCTGGAGTTAATATTTCAGGGCAATTATCGAATGGTGGTAGTGACGTTCCCCACACGCCTCGTACGTTTCGCAAGCGCCTCAACTGACGTCACGTGACCTCTCTGACCCGCCTGCGCAGCGCATGACTCCACCCTCGGCGGCGGCTTTACGCATCTACTGCTCAGCTGTATACCCAGCCACACAAACCAAGTTAGATGGCGAACTAGGTGCGCGAGCCGTCCGAAACGCGGCATCGGTGGGGCCAAACTGTCAACACACTTCCCGGTCACCCCCACCAGCTACCCACTCTAAAGAAATTTTCAAAAATCCCGTCCACAAATAAGTCAAAAATTACGTGGCCGTGCATCGGTTGCTGCAATCCTCGCACTCACAAGGGCCGTAGTGAGTGCTTATTCGTTTGAAAGGCCGTACCGGAGAGATCGAAGTTCAGGGAAGGGGTTCTACACCAGCCAGAACAAAGATCAGAGCAGAAGATCAGCAAAACAAAAACATGTTGATACTTGAGCCAGGCGCGCTGAGCCCCTGGCCGGAAAAAGAAACCCGCGACGGCGAAGCCGGCCCTTGCCCGGGGTTGCGAGTTTCAGTCCTGCCGCCGGCGCAGGCAGGGTCAGCGAGAGGGCAGGGACGAGGTCTGGAGGTGCCGAACAGTGGGAGCGTCCCACCTGGTCCCGATAGACCGCGGCCGCGACATCGCGGCCGCCCCCTCCCCTCCCCTCCGCGACCCGGCGTCGCGCCAGCCCGGCCCGTGACTATCTTATCGGGGCTCTGGAGTCTGGAGTTCGGTGCCGGGTGACGGGAAGACCGCGCGGCGCGCGGTGCCACAACCAGCGCCGGCGAACCATCCACGGAAGATGAACCGCTGGGCAGGCTGACGACATCGCTCCGTAGCACCTGGAAACGGATGGTTGAGTGGCCGCCTCCGCCGGCCGAACAGAGCTGAAACCCCCGCGGCCCTCCCCCTCGCTCCCAGGCACGACAAAAGCCGCAGGCAGCGTGGCGCGCGCGGCGCGGGTACTCACAAAGCCGTAGCCGCGGCTCTTGCCGGACTGCCGGTCCGTGATGACGACGGCCTCCTCGATCTCGCCGTACACCCTCGAAGTGCTCGCGCAGCGACTTGTCGGTCGTGTGGTAGGGCAAGCCGCCGACGAAGATCTTGGTGAAGGTGGTTGTCCTTCTGCGAGACGCCCGGCGAGTCCGTCAGCGCAGGGCTGCCGGTCGCCGCCAGCGCAGACGGCAGGGAATACGGGCTGGCGCCGGGCATCAGCATCATGTTCGACCCGAGCGAGGCACTGCGGTCACGGCGGTGGCGGCGGCGGCTCTGTCTGCCGGGAGGGCGGCGGTACGCGGGCGCGGGCGGCGGGGCGCTGGCGGGGACTGCGAGCGCCGACGGCCGCGAACCCCACGTGTAACTCGAGGCGTCCAGCTGGCGGCGCGCGCTCTGCGCATGCGCGCTGCGCCGCCGCGGGCGGGGCGCATGTGCGGCGCCCAGGGGGCCGCTCAGGGGGAGGGAGGGGGAGGGGAGCGGTGCGGGACAGGTGAGCTGGCCGACACCAGGCGGCGGCGGAGTGGGAGCGGCTTCTGACGTTACCCGGCAGTGTGGTCGCGACACTGCATCCGCTCCCGCGCTCTAGGATGGCAGAATACCTACCCCCTGATCAGAGCCGAAACAGGACTTTGTTTCCGCAGCTCAGACGACGTATTGAGTCTTCACACCCCAATTTCAGACTGCAGCGCGTCCTTACCATGAGTCGGTGAGCAGGGATACCTGCTTCCCGCGCCAGGCACATTGTCGGTCAGCCAGATCGGAATTCGCTCGGATGCCCCGCGAGCTCTGAGACCCGACTTAGCAAGCAAATATATTCCCCGAGTCCAGGCTGACAAATTCCTGCCCCCCCCCCCCCTTACCCCCACCCCGAATCCAGACCGACTGGACCCCCATGTTCAGGATGCGGAATGAAAGGGCCCGCGCCTCGGGCCAAAATGAGGGCTCCCGAGCCTCAGACAGAGTGACAGCAGAGCCGCGGCCTGTTGTCCAGAGAGGCGGGACCCGAGTACAGTGAACCTAGAATGATCGCGGCCTCTGACTCCAATCATGAGCCCCCAAATCAAGAAGCTCCTACTCCTTGGGTTTCGCCGGTCATTGTTCATATGCAGTTGCATATGAAAGGTCCTCCATGAAGGTCCCAGTCCTCATTTAATTGTATGTACTAGTTGTGACCATTCATTTCTACGGTTTTTTAGATATTGGCATCATTACAACAGCGAAAAACCGGCGCACAAAAGGTCAAGCATGGCTACACAGCGCACACATAAGCACCGAACATACTACAACATGTTAAGTTGCGCATAAATTAAGGCTGTTCGGACGCCTGCGCTGGTATAGAAATGAGAAGAACATGCTTGAACTTACTTCTGTTCCCGAATGCATTCAGCTCAAACGTCCAGATTCTTCGCCCGTGTGTGCAGGGGTTGTAGTTCAGCAAAATACGTTGGGGGCGGCTGGACAGGAATATGAATAAACTCACTCTCAGAATGCGCTCCAAAAATGGTTTTCCCCGAATTTAGCCCACTTTTTTCTCAAAGTTGGGAGGCGAATGGAAAACTCCAGCGCCCGCACCTGTGCATCACGTGCATTCTATCACATGTGCATCACGTGGTGTCAGACACTATGTGCCTCTCCTCGGCTGTGTCTCCGGTGCATAGCGGCGGCTCCTCTGAACCAGACGGCCCAAACAAGCAGAGGTTATATGTGCCGCGGACGTGTGGACGAGGCGCTCGCGGGCGCCCAAAATACTCGGCGGAGAGGGAAGCCGGAGGAATGCGGTAGGAGGACGGGGAGGGGGGAGGGGCCGCTCGTTACGCCGCTTCTGTGTCGGCTCGACGCGACGTGAACGACGGGAGAGGAGGCAGGTGCTGGCAAAACACAGCCTCTTTAAGGAGTCTGGGTTTACCATTCGTCACTGGCAGGTGCTACCGCTGAGACCCAGCAACGGGACACAACTGGGTGACAACTCCGCTGGGGACTCCATCCTTAGGGGAAAGTGGACGTAGCCAAGGGTTTTTTGATGTCATGGCCCTCCCCCTGGAGTTGACGGGACCCCTGGGACCGAAGGCCCAGTACTTTTTGTGCAGTTTAAAGCGCCTGGAGGGCTTTTAAAACGTGTAAAGAGACACACAAGACAACTGAAGAGGATCCAGAGTCTAAGAGGGTTCTCCGAAATAAAAAAGAATAGGGTCCCTAAAGCGGCGAATAGGGGTCTCTTACCGATTCATAATCCCTCGAGGCGAAATACTAGCTTCGCCACTGGCTGAGAGGGTACTGGACACCGCCACGGGGACCGACATGTGCTTGACTTCAGTTGAGCCCGGACACCGCCACGGGGACCGACATGTGCTTGACTTCAGTTGAGCCTGGACACCGCCACGGGGACCGACATGTGCTTGACTTCAGTTGAGCCTGGACACCACCACCGGGGACCGACGTGTGTTTGACTCCAGTTTGAGCCTGGACACCGCCACGGGGACCGACATGTGCTTGACTCCAGTTGAGCCTGGGACACCACCACCGGGGACCGACGTGTGTTTGACTCCAGTTGAGCCTGGACACCACCACCGGAGGCCGACATGTGCTTGACTCCAGTTGAGCCTGGGCACCACCACCGGAGGCCGACATGTGCTTGACTCCAGTTGAGCCTGGACACCGCACGAGAGCCGACGTGTGCTTGACTCCAGTTGAGCCTGGACACCGCCACGGGGCCCAACATGTGTTTGACTCCAGTTGAGCCGCGTCAGCTCTGCTTCCGACTCATTCATGCAGAATGGATTTTGTCCCTGACTCCGCCTGAGCTTAAACAAGTTTGAGCCGACTCCACTTGTGACTATAAATGTTCAAAAGTAAATCGGGTCAACTCTGAGCCCGATTTAATAGAACGCTGAAAAATGCTAGATGAGACATCAGTAGGGTTGCCTACACCTGCTATCTGTTACTTTCTTGTACTGTCTGTATACGGCAGCGAGCATATAAATCATGCAGTTGGACACAAGCGCCCACTAAAACCCGCAAATCTGTAGATTTCAGGATCGGTATCTATATATGTACCTGTATGCGGTGTCGGTAGATCCATCAGCAGATAATCACGCCACAATACATGCCTCAAAAAACTGGCTGGTTATGGGTAGTATGGGTAGTGGGCAGTGGGCAGTGGGCACCCTACCTGGGCAATTACCAGCCTCAGACGCATCGCCTTCCCACACTCACTGCACAGGAACATCACAGAAGGCAAAGTACGACGGCCGATGCTACAAGCCATTTAAAAACTGTCAATTATTAGTTATTAATGCATGGTGAGGGGATCAGCGAAACATTGCAGCATACTTAACCACCGAGAGGGACGCATGATGTTGGCCACGGGTTCCCTGCAGTGCTTAACGAAAAACAATTCATCCCTTCATGACGCAACACTGCCGAAATGTGTGCACTGTAAAGTAGCACTAAGATCTGGAACGCAGCGTAAAAATGCAGTCCGTTACCTAAAATCGAGCTGTGTTGCCGGACGGCAAAAGGTTGAACGTCTGAGCGCATGCCCTTCCTAGACTGGCGTCGCTTCTAAATCCTGGCGCGGACGTCTTACGCCTTGTGATGGTTACCCGCAGCTTTGTTTAAAGAGTTAAGTAGTGACAGCTTGGTTTAATGTGTGTTGACGGATTATTTAGCACCAACGAGAGCACGGTATTTCGGCCGCGTCTTGCACTGAGCGTGGTCTCAGTGTGCCAATATCCTTCTCAACGCGATTGACCACCTGATAAGGTGACGAGATGTGCCGACTGCCGCCCGCCGGTGTCCAATCACTGATACCGGATTAGGACTCTCCGCTTGCTCGATGGAGCCCCAGAACGCACGTCCGGCCGTGTGAATGGCACCTGAGGTCAGCGTGCAGGCGAGCTGGTTAGGGACTTGAACTGAATACCGGTGGAAGGATAATCGTGTGTGTCCCACGGTTAATTTGACGATGCCGCTTTTCGCGCGCTTTGGTTTCAGTGAGTCTGATCGGCCATGATGCTAACTGTTTGCATACATTATCGGGACCTATCAATTGGTACGCAACAGACAACAAAAAGCTGTCAATTCAGTTAAAGATTTCGTCATGCACTTAAGCTAATAAGTCTACGGTTTTAAAGCAAGACAGTACTAAAAGCCTCAGTCCTGGCAGAATAACCAGGATAATGGAAAGATAAGTGTATTGATATTTCGGTTTCACGGCTTTATCAAAACGGGTATCAGTAGTAAACTCAAAATAGCCTCAGGCAATTTTAGATTCACTGCTGATATTCGCCACTGGGAGGTAGCATTATTGGAGGACACCACCACTGGGAGGACGCCACCACCGGTGAGACTCAACCGCTGAGAAATATCACCACTGGAAGCACCACAACGGGAGGACAACACCCCTGGGAGGACACCGTCTCTGGGAGACACCACCACTGGGAGGACGCCACCAGAGGGGAGACTCAACCACTGGGAGATATCACCACTGACAGGACGCCACAACCGGGGAGACTCAACCACTGGGAGATATCACCACTGGCAGGACGCCGCAACCGGGGAGACTCAACCACTGGGAGATATCACCACTGGAAGCACCACCACTGGGAGAACGCCATCCTCTGGGAGGACACCACCTCTGGGGCACATCACCACTGGGAGGACGCCACCACCGGGGAGGGGCCGCTCCTGGGGCGCGCCATCAGTGGGAGACACCAATTATAAGCGGGGCGCAGACACATTGTGTGGACGACACAGCCACCGGGGAAATGTTTGCTGGAGGTAGTGCTCTGAGGATTTACACCCCAAAAACAGGGTAGTCAATTTATGTGATTAATTACGGGTGCCGAGCCGAGGGCCTTTCAACATGACCCCGTCGCTAAATGAATTTTCCATCGGCTTGAACGTAGTTAATTTTGACGAATGACATGTTTCATTTGTCATTTTTGCATCACTTTCTTCTCCGTTCTGGTAAATTTTGTAGCATTCCGGCAAAAATGTTACATTGGGTGAATATTATTAATGACCAGCACATTGGAGGGGAGAACCCACATTAGGGCCTCCCACAAAATTCGAGTCCACTAACCGGAAGTTATCGCCAGGAAACGTATCGATTACCGGAACAGATATAAATAACCTTGCCTGGGACGTTTGGGAAAGGATCCTGGAAGCCGTCATCGACACCATTATCTTAATTGATTATTCGGCTGGCAGCACACACCGGCGTTGAGAGCACTACTTCCACTGCAGATCCAAGGATTGAGGATTTCCATATCCTATCGACACCCTTAATGAACTAAACGAAAACGAAACTAAGCTAGATAAATAAATAGACGACTTCTTAATTCATTCTTGCTAATCACGTCACGTGCAAGCAAGGGACGCCGAAAGAGTTAAATTTCTGAAGAGTGAGCTGTGGTCTGAACAGTTCATAGCCGCTAAGATTAAGAATGTTAACATTTAATTCAGACGTGAGGCAAAATGTTAATGTTTGATGTTATGTTATGTTTGATGTTATGTTATGTTTTGATGTTATGTTATGTTTGATGTTATGTTATGTTTAATGTTATGTTATGTTTGAAGTTATGGTATGTTTGATGTTATGTTATGTTTGATGTTACGTTATGTATGTTTGATGTTATGCTATGTTATGTATGTTTGATGTTAGATGTTATGTTTATGGCATAACCAGCTTCAAAACGTTACGGGCTCATCGTCAGTGGAAGATACACCCCTCCTATACTACAAGAAAATAGTACTCTCAAGTAGCCAAGCAATCAGCCTGGCCTGATGATAACCTTTGCTACAGTGTTTTCCACAGTTTGTAACTGTTGCGCGTGTTGATTATGTCCCGTAGTGTCCCATTTAAAACTTGACGCTAAGCCCGAGGCAAATTC